GTAATTTTATAATTATTATTTTTTATTTAAATATTCTCTGCATATTTAATCAAAATTTTCGAACTCACCTTTGTGGTAAAACCGCGATCACAGATGGTACACTTGAACGGTCGCTCCTTGGTGTGGCTGCGATAGTGTATTTCTAGAGCTGAGTGACAGGGGAATGTTTTGAAACAGATGCCGCAGGTGGTGCTGCCACGCACGCCTACAAAGCGAAATTTTTTCGCAAAAAAAGAAAATTGAAAACGCATTAAAATGGTGCCGACACGAAAGCAATATTTTCAATTTCAACGCAAATCAAGTGAAATCTGCGTTTATTTAATTGAAAAGCAATAATTAACGGTTATAAATTTATGGTCGTAAAATAACGAGCTGCGCATGCGCAACAGACCGCAACTAAACGATTTGTTTATAATATTAAAATCGAATGAGAACTAAAAAATTTTAGGTCAAACCAGCAATTACAAACGCAACAACATTTTTGTACAAGCAAACTCACCGGAAAGTGCGAGTGGATTGAATGGTGCCGCCGGCATTACCGATTGCGCAATCGTATTCATAGCGGAGCACATCGTTTGCGCTGTGGCCGGCGGGAAGAGCGGCAGGTTCGGAAACATGCCGAACGGTGGCCGCGCCGCCACCAATGGATTGGGTGGTTGTGGGCCTTGTGGTGGCATAGCGCCCGTCGGCTGTTGTTGTTGCGCTGCTGCGGCTGCTGCTGCCGCCGCCGCTGCTTGCTGGTGTTGCTGTTGCAGGTGATGCGCCAAATGCGGCGACGGTGGTAATGGCAGCTGATGCGGTGAATGTGCAGACGCATGCGTGTCTTGTTGTTGTTGTTGTTGCTGCTGCTGGTGGTGGTGGTGTTGACGCAGTTGATGCTGATGTGCCGCATGCTCCTGTTTGATTTGATGTTCGCGACGCAACTGCTCGGCATGCATAGCGACGGCATGCTGTTGCAATTGTTGGTGATGATGTTGCGCTTGCGCTTGAGCATGCGCTGCTGCCGCCGCGACCGCTTGCTGTTGCATCAGCTGCTGATGCTGCTGTTGCAAGTGATGGTGCAACACTGGTGGCAGACAGTCAACGGCTGATGTTGGCACCAATGGTGAGGTGAGCGTAGAAGCGGGACTCGTTTGGGGCTTTTGTATGGACGTTGGATTTGGACTTCTAGTGATGCTGCTATTGGCGCTACTGTTGCGCTGCGACGGCGATGTGGGCGACTTGCGTCCACTTGCAGGCGTTGCCGACGTCGGGGCCGGTGAGTGAGAGCTACTTTTGGCGTGCGTGGGCATGGCGCGTGGCGTGAGATCGAGTGCGCCTTGCGATGCCTCAGACATGGAGCGCGCAGGTGAACTGGCACGCGTGGAACAGTGGCGCGGCGCTGAACTGGGACTGGTTGGCGCTGAATTTACGGAGTTCGCATTGCTGACCGTTGAATGTGGACGCGGTGTGGTATTTACGACGCCGGTAGCATCGATACGTAGCTTTTGCTCGAAGAGTAGGCCTTTAAAGTCATCGCTGGAACGCGGACGATCGCTCACATCCAAGTCGTGTGCGCTGGACATGTGCTCGGACGACATGTCATCGTCATAGTCATCGCCACAATCGATATTTTCATCCATATCGCCTTGCGACGACTCCGAACCAAGTCCGTTGTGTGGTCCTAAATGACCCATGGCAGCGCCGGCACCTGGCATAGCGCCGAAGTGGAAAGCCGCCGCTGCGAAGGGATTCATAAACGCGCCCGGCATCATCGATGGCGGCGGATCGCGTATTTCGGCAGCTTGTATCTGTTCGGGTGTCAAATCGGTTGGCTCGCCGGTATGCAGACGTATGTGCTGCTGCAAGACCAGCGCGTTCGAATACTTCTTATGACAAACAGGACATTGGTGGAAGTTGCGCATGGGTGGCCGTATCTTATGCACAGCCATATGTGTCTTTAGGTTGCCTTTCGTAGTGAAGGCGCGTCCACAAATACGGCACTTGAAGGGCCTTTCGCCAGTGTGTGTACGGTAATGCATCTGTAAAGCGCTCTTACACGACAGCACACGATCACATACGACGCATTGATTCGGGTCAGTCAATTTCTTGTTCTTCATGAGTTCCTTCAATTTCAGCGTTTCCGAAGTATTCGAAACTTCTATGAAATTCTCCCACGAGTTGTCATTGCTGTGTGGGCGTGGCAACAGTGCCATCTCATGTTTGATTGGATTGAAGAATGGCGAGCGCTGCAGATGCGCCGGCGAACGTATAGGCGAATGGTGCTCGGGTGAGAGATTTTTGGTAAAGTTCAGCGGAAAACGCTCGGCAAAGAAGTCGTCGCGATGATGCAGAGATGGTGGCAGCTGACCCGGTGTGGGCAAGTGATCGAAATGATTGTTCAAGCCGGGTGACGGATGTGGATGCATTGTGATGGGCGGCTGCGCTGGCTGCACAACAGGTGGCAATGCCAACGACTTTGAGGTGGGTGTTGGTGGAGTGAAAGGCGTGCTGGCGCACGTCTGTGTCGGCGTTGTAGCATTTGCGCGTGCCGGTGAGGGGGTCAACTGTGCGTTTGGTGTTTCCGTACGTTCCAACTCGTCATCTTGCGAATCCGTGTCGATGCGCTCTTCTTTAATTTTTATAGCCAGTGTGGGTGTGGTGTCCTCCGTTGCGGCCACAACCGCCGGAGTTTCTGCTGGTTGCGCGATCGCCGTCGTTTGTTTGACCGCGTCTTCTTCTTCCTTCTCGTCGGTGATTTCAGTCTTCACTACTGTCAACTCCGGTGAGTTGGATGCCGACGACTTACGCAAATCGGTCGGCAAATCTTGATTATGCTCTTTGGCTGTGGTCTGTGCCGCCGGCGCTTCAGCGCGTGACTCACTAACGGCATTAGACATTTGCGGAAAGAATGGATTTGGAAAGCCGACGTTACCTAGTGACTTCAACAACTCCATTGGTGGCCGATAGAGACCGGTTAAGCCAGGAAAGCCGGCGCTTGGTGGAAAGGGTAGCGGCAACGACACTGGCGGCAGCTGTTGTTGTGGCATTTGTTGTGGCAGCGCAGCCGGTGTGTGTGAGGGCGAGCTGTCCGGCGACATTTGGTCCAACAACGGTGGGTGAAATTTGTCCAAGTGCTCGGGTATCGGTGTGGCATTCATTGGCACATGCGGGAACTTATGCGCGTGCCGCTGAAAGTGCACCTTCAGATTGCCTTTGGTGGTGAAACGACTGCCGCAGACATTGCATTTGAATGGTCGCTCGCCGGTATGTGAGCGTATGTGTATTTGTAGCGCCGAATCGGAGCCAAACACCTTGCCACAGTAGCGGCAGCGATGCTTGAAGAACGGTTCATTGCGATTCTTGCCATCGCCGTTCTTATCCCTGAACGCAAATTCGTCAGCCATATTGTTGGCAAGTATGCCCTGCGAGGCGGAGTCTAGCACCTCTTGCGCGCGCTTTTGCAACATCTCCAGCGAATTGGGCTCAGGCAGATCATCGTGATTGGTAATTATGCTCGAGGCGAGATCAGTACCATAGGGCAGTGGCATATTTTCCATTTCCTTCAGCTTACTCAACGCATCCATACCGCTGGGCATTTGCGAACTCGCGCGTGTAGCGCTGAGCTGTGAGGCCTCCACACTCATGCGCCTGCTAGCCACAGCCTCAAAAGCATCAGCGTCATCTTCGCGCTTGCGCTTGAGTGACTCTGTACCGTTCAGCGCGCTGCCGCTGGTGTCAGCTGAACTAGTTTCCCGATCGTCGATGGCAGCTTCATCGCGCAGCGGCACACCAGCATTGATGAGATGTTGACGCGCTTTAGCCTCGGCCATGCGCGCCTCCGCCTTCTGGCGCAACTCCATTTCCGCAATGCGTTCCTCCTCTTCGTATGTATCTTCTTCGCCGTCTTCGCGCTCTTCCTCCAACTCATCGCCGTCGCCAACTTCACCATCACTCGCACCCTTCGACTGATTCATGGCCAATTGCGATTGTAATTGTTGAATGAGTTGTATTTGAAAGAGTTGTTGTTGCTGCAAATTGAACAGCGCTTGCTGCAAGAAAGCTAACTGTTTCATTGCCGCATCATTATCGCCACCCTGTGCGCCATTCGCTATCGTCTTGGCGGCGAATTGCGCGATAGCCATTTGCATGTTTTGTATGGCTTCCAGGTTGACCGGCGCAGCGCCGAAAGCGGCGGCGGCCGCGGCTTGTGGTAAACCAGCTGCGCTAGCTAGCGCGCTCGCTGTGGGCGTAAGCGCGGCGGCAGCGCTCTTTGCAATGTCATCTGCTTCGCTGGTGACCGCGCCATTACTAACATCCATACTGTTGGCATTTGTTAGCGCTGCGCTAGCCGCCGCTAATTCCGCGGCGCGCTGCTTTACAGCTAACTCTTGGGCAGTTTGTTGATCTTCATCTTCATCACCATTCTCTTCCACTTCCTTATTATCTAGCTCTGCTAGTGTGGCGCGCTGCTTTGCCATCGTACCAGCCGATGTATAAAGCGTACTCTCCTCCGTCTCTTCAGTGTCCATTGGTGTGGGCGCACCAAATTTGTTATTGTTAGCCACAAAACTAGCACTATCTAGCGGATATGTATTGTATGTTGGTGTGCTGGCAACGCTAATTGCTGACGCTGCGCTCGCTTCCACCATCGCCGACGCGGCCGCATCGCTAAGCTGTTTCAATTGTAGTAGGCGCTCCACGGGTGTTGAACCGCGCGCCTGCTCTAGTCGCGTCGGTGATACACCGGACATAGCATTATTGCTGTTGCTGTTGCTAGTGTTGTTGTGATTGTGATCTTCACTCGCCACGCTCATTGTTGTTGTTGTACTTTGTTCAAGCGCATCCGCTGCGCTTTGAGTGCGATCTTGCACTTGTGCCGCAACGGACAAATCATTGCCAATTGCGCTGTGTGCCGGCGTTGCAAGCATAACTGTGGGCATGGCTGTTGTTGCCGCTACTGCGGCACTTGTTGCTGTCGTTTCGGTATTGCTCGCCACGTCTTGACTAGCAATGGGTGAGCAGCAAGCACCATTCTCCTCCTGATCGCTGGACTCATCTGCGGATGCGGCGTGAAAATAACGTTGAAAAGGCGTAAAACGAAAAGAAGAAGAAAATAAAATCGTTAAATTTAAAGTAGAAAAATCGTACATAATATATGTTTGTATATATGTATATAAAACAAGCGCGCTGTGGCGAACTATGTTAAAGCAGGTGTAAATGAGTGTCCCCACGGACATAAAACCTAACAAGCTGGAAAATGAGGTCCCTCAGCGTAGTGCATCGGCAAGACGAAAAGCGTGGCGTACAAAAACGCAACAAGCTTAAAACACTGTCTGTTACCACTGGGCACGAGTGCTACTGCTACTATTTGCTGCCGCGTCACAACTACCGACGGCTTGACTTCTTGACTCCACTGACAACGCGTCCATGGCGATAGCTACCAACCCATTAGCTGATCGCTTCACGAGCCAACAGCTAACAAAGAGATTACAAGCAACTGACTTTCCTGTTCACTTGCAGTTCGCCATTTAATGAAGCAGTAGTAGTAGTAGAAGACAACAAGCATAAAAAAATTGCATGCGACAAAAAAGCTAAGATATCACACACCTTCAAGTGAGGAATAGGAAAAAAAGCATACTTTTTAGATTTTCTTTCTTGCTTTACATGGAAAATTGTTGCTTGTCAATGGCTATGGTTTTGCTTTAATATTGACTCATCATAATCGTGCCATATTTATTTATTTATACGTATAATAAATAGTTGTGTTGCCGTTAATTAAATATATGCCACAGTTAGCAATGCGCACTGTGCCTTTAAGTGGCGATTCTTATGAATCTTGAATAAATATGACTGCTCATGGGAATGTTGAACGAGCACAGTGTTTTGAGGATATAAAAATTAAAAGAAAAATAATAACATTATAAAAAAAAATAAAAAAAAAAC